TAAATATTTAAATCAAAACAAGCTGCTGATTATTTCACATTTTACTTGTGAGCAACGGCACATTTAAATCTTACAAATATAGTTATTTGGCTTATATCGTGATATATATCGTTATCGCTTGAAATGAAAAAAACATATCGTTATATGAAAAAATCTTATATTGCCCAGCTCTACTATGGTTACTATGTGCACATTTGTATTGCCTGGATTTAAACAAAGCTAGTGGAATTATATGCTTTAACTGTGAAAACTTCCTTTTTTCCTTTCTTCCCTATTTTTATATAGACCCAAAAGTCTTCAAAAGAGAGGAAAATAAAAAATTTAGTTTACAGCATCAACATGTTTTAGCTTTATTTTTCTCTTTTTTTCTTTGTCTTTTTGTTCGCATCATATGTCAAATATTAAGTAAAATATATTATTCACACTGATATTCGCTCCAGCACCTACAATTACATGTTGCTTTCAGGCATGGAGGTGGCATCTTACTTGACAGACAAAGCCTCCAGTATCACAGTGATAGGCAGCAGTGAAATGCCGTACCAAAATACATTAGGTCCTGAAATCGGCAAACTCACCATGACGGTAAGAAAGATGAAGAGATTGAGATGTACGTGTTATTCCCTGACAGTAGTTCATCTCCAGCTTACCTGTTTGTTGTTCACTCTTGTTTCTGTAGATGCTGATTGAGAGAAATGTGAAATTCTACATGAATGATAGCGTGACAGAGATCCGAGGTGTGAATGGCAAGGTAAAGTGAGGAGATAAACTTCATTCCAGTGTCACGATTTGCACTGGCAGAACATGTGGATGGAGAAAGAGGACCCAAATGCAGACACTTGGAACAAAACTATAATATAGCAAAAGGCGAGCCGTTTATTTGAGGTTGGGAAAAGGTACAAAACAAAAGGCAGATGCACACTGAGGCGAAACTAGAACTAAACTGGGAAAAACTAAATGCTAAACACAACAGACAAAGAACAAAACCTTGAACGTGACAAAAACTTGGAAACATGGAGGCATGATGAGAACTCAACAGACGACCTGACAAGGAATCAATGAAAACACACAAAATGCACACCGGAGGTGATCAGGGGAAGTGGAAACACATGGGTGACAGCTGATTAGAATAAACATATTGATGCCACAGGGGAAGTGAAACTAACCACAACGAACACGGGACACCAAACCTCTTCAAAATAAAACGAGAAACATAATGAGACGCAGACATGAAACGCATGAAGAGCGACGGAGACTTAAACAGAGGCGTGAAGCAACAAGGGAAATCTAATAAACAATGAACTATAACAGGGCATCATAGGCAAAAAAGAAATGAACTTAGATAAGCTAATGAACTTAAACATAAACCATAAACATCAAAATATATTAAGACTCAAAAGGCTGGGTCAAATGGCCCAGGATTGTGACGCCTAGTTTTAGATAAGAATATCAGCACAGTTTTATCTTCAGTAATGTGAAAAAAAAAAATACTAACACTGAGTTCTTCCTGTCACGTTCTGTTTTATTCCTCAAGGTGAAGGAGGTTGTGCTGAAAAGTGGAAAAGTTATCCCAGCTGAAGTTTTGATTGTAGGTATTGGTAAGTGGAAACATATCAGTCTTTTATGAGTCTTTTATTAAGCAACACAGAATTCTTCAAAGCTTTTATAATCAGTATCAGAATACTTTATTAATCCCGAAGAAATATATGTATATATTCACTGAAATTACTGTTGCCAGCATATTGTAAATATGTCTGATGTTAATGTTAGTCAAAGGAGCTTGCAAAGAAAAGCGTCTGGACTTCTTTACGTTACTTGAAGACGTTTCACCTCTCATCCGAGAAGCTTCTTCAGTTCTAAGGTCAAATGGTGGAGAGTCCCAGATATAAACCTAGTGGGAGAAACCCCCCACAGAGGGACAAAAGGACCCCCTGATGATCCTCTAATCGCCTGAGCCAAGGTGTGAAACTGGGTGTGGGTCCCAATCAACCAGAGTTTCGGGTGAGTTCATTGTGAAACCCTGGCCCCACCTTATCACGCGAATTCCTGAGGTCAGATGGCCCAGGATGTGAGTGGGCGTTAAGGCGTCTGGGAAGGGATCTCAAAACTGGATTATAGATGGCAGAGAGTTGGTGTCGTAACCCCCCGCCTCTGTTCAAAGATGGTCGCTCACAGTGGACATAGATGGCTTCTTTCACTCCTCTTTCAAACCATCTGTCCTCTCTGTCCAAAATGTGAACATTGGCATCCTCGAAAGAGTGTCCTTTATCCTTAAGATGCAGATGGACTGCTGAGTCTTGTCCTGTGGAGGTGGCTCTTCCGTGTTGTGCCATGCGCTTGTGAAGTGGCTGTTTGGTCTCTCCAATGTAGAGGTCTGAGCATTCCTCGCTGCACTGTACAGCATACACCACATTGTTAAGTCTGTGTTTTGGCGTTTTGTCTTTCGGGTGAACCAGTTTTTGTCTGAGCGTGTTGCTGGGTCTGAAATGCACCGGGATGTCATGCTTGGAGAAAACTCTCCTGAGTTTTTCTGATACACCGGCTACATAGGGGATGACAATGTTGTTGCGTCTGTCTTTCTTATCCTCCCTCGCTGGTGTCTGGTCTTCTTTTCTGTGCCTCTTTGCTGACTTTTAAAACGCCCATTTAGGATAGCCGCACGTTTTGAGTGCTTCCTTTACATGTGTGTGTTCCTTCTTTTTTCCTTCAGGCTTAGAGGGAACATGTTCTGCCCGGTGGTGTCGGGTCCTAATTACTCCAAGTTTGTGTTCCAGAGGGTGATGGGAGTCGAACAGGAGGTACTGGTTCGTGTGTGTGGGCTTCCGGTAAACTTCGATGTTGAGGTTGCCGTTCTCTTCAATGTGCACAGCGCAGTCCAGGAAAGGCAAACAGTTGTCCTTTGTGTCTTCCCTGGTGAACTTGATCTTTTTATCCACAGCGTTAATGTGCACAGTGAAGGATTCCACTTCTTGTGTCTTGATTTTGACCCAGGTGTCGTCTACATATCTGTACCAGTGGCTGGGTACTCTTCCTTTGAAAGAGCCAAGATCCTTCCTTTCCACTTCCTCCATGTAAAGGTTGGCTACAATAGGTGACACGGGGGAGCCCATGGCACAGCCATGTTGTTGTCTGTAAAAGCCTTTGTTGTATTTGAAACATGTAGCGGTGAGGCAGAGGTCTAACAGTGTGCAAATCTGATCGGGTGTGAAGTTGGTCCTGTCCTCCAAGGAGCTGTCTTCTTGTAGTCGTTTTCTGACAGTCTCCACGGCCTCCGTGGTGGGTTTGCAAGTGAAGAGAGAGACTACATCAAAGGACACCATGGTTTCATCTGGATCCAGGGTAAGTTTCTGGACCTTATCGGTGAAGTCGGTGGAGTTCTTGATGTGGTGTGGGGTGTTCCCCACGAGAGGAGCAAGGATGGTAGCACCTTTTGTCCCTCTGTGGGGGGATACTCCCACTAGGTTTATATCTGGGACTCTCCACCATTTGACCTTAGAACTGAAGAAGCTTCTCGGATGAGAGGTGAAACGTCTTCAAGTAACTTAAAGAAGTCCAGACGCTTTTCTTTGCAAGCTCCTTTGACTACGATGACCTGGATGACTGAGAACCTTCACAGATGATGTTAATGTTAAATGACTTGTTGAAATTGTATACAAATAACTGAGTGAAATGACCTGATTAACTGCTCCTATTTTTCCTCCATTAGGCACCATGCCGAACTCAGAGTACCTAAAGGACACTAAAATACAGATGACCTCAAAAAACTTTGTAAACGTCGACAAGGTAGGCTAATTGTCAGCAGTTCACCCGATTATCTACAGCACATAAGCCTGACTTGTACTTTTCCCCCAAACTTGTGCTTTGGAACATTGATCATCAGTTCTCTGTGTGTATCCCTCCTGCAGTACATGCACACCAATGTCCCCGATGTCTTCTGTGGTGGTGATCTGGCCATGTTCCCACTGGCCATTGCTAAAAACAGGATGGTTAACATTGGACACTGGCAGATGGCACAAGCACAGGGTAAAGCAGGAAACATTTAGACTTAACTGGAAAGTTTCACAAAGAGACTTTGATGCACAAAATCAATGTTTGACATTTACCATGGGAAGCACAAAAACTGTTAAAATGTCATCTATGGGAAGCGGGACTAAATTCACGAGAATTCTGGGTCAATTTATATTACTTAAAGCTCCAAAACTGACATCAACACTGTCAACCTTACCTTTGCTCTCTCCTTCAGGCTGGAGTGTTTACTAAGCATTCTGATGAATACAAACAATAACAAATTCAATATCAATTTGCATATACACATTTTAATTTGTATAATTTTTGCTATTGCTTAAAAATTTATGGTGCTATTGATTCATGGTCTCAAAAACACATGTATAAAATATGATACACTGGGTGTTACAGGGTAAAATCCCATATATGTCATTTACATGTTAAACTTTTTTGTGTGTGTGTTAAGGGAGAATAGTAGCTCTGAACATGCTAAACAAAACAACTGAACTGAACTCAGTCCCTTTCTACTGGACTGTCCTTGTGGGTAAGACCATCCGATACACAGGTGGGTATACACACACACGTAAATATTTACTGGCACACAAAAAATCAGGTGTCTTATTATCATTATTCATGTGAAGTTATTACATCTTTCTTTTCAGTCTTTGCCATCCAAACTGTTTATTTTACTGCCTGAAAACACTGTAGATAAACCCTCTGTGATAGATTTCATATGTTTCTGCATGCCATTGTTGAATGTTTGCTTTGGCTGTGTGCAGGCTATGGGGAGGGATACACTGAGCTCGTGATAAAAGGACAGTTTGAGGACAGGAAGTTCCTCGCATTGTACATTAAGTAAGTTGTTCTTAAAACTGTATTCAACTGTGATAGAAAAAAATGTAACCATTAAATAAATACCCAGATGTGTATGTTTGGAATGTTTTTTTCCCTGTAGGGATGAGGAGGTCATAGCAGCAGCTGGCCTGAACTTTGATCCAGCAGTGTCGGCAGTAGCTGAGAGACTCGCAACAGGAAAAGTCATCACAAAAGACGAGGCCCAGTATGTAAAATCGTTCAGTTTGTTTTACACTTTGTTTCTATATTCCCATCTTCTGATTATTTTAGTCAAACTGAATCTGAACAATATGACTCCAGAGAGACAATGTAGGGAGATTTATTTTTGTGAAAAATGAGCCACGTTTCTTACCTAGAGGTTGGTGGAGTCCAAAAAAAGATCTAACAGAGTTTCATTGTTTAAGTTAGACACCACAGGTGGTCAGGAACATGACTTCAAAGCTGTTTTGAGACATGATGTCCAGACATTGTTCGGATAATCAAGCCATTGCCTTGTTTCAAGCTGGCCTTTATTACACGTAGCATTCAAAAGAGATTCAGACAAGTTCTAACTAAACAAATACTTTTGTCTCTGGTGATGCCTGGGATCTGGGTAGAACATGAATGCTTCTCACATGGGCTCAATCAAACTTTTCATAGGCTTTGTAAAAATCTCAGATCACTAAAATTTGAAAACAGTTTTTCATGGCATCATTAGAGACGTCCCTGCATAGGTCAGTGTCTTTTTTGCCCATGATATCATCTTGTTTTGAAACCAAACATGATGAATGAGGTGCATATCTGACTAGGAAATATGGAACACACTTGTTAGCTAGGAGCATCTTAATTTCAAAATACAGCATATCCTGTTTAACACTCAGAAAAAAAGTTTCCTGAGACCCTGCTACTTCTAGCAGCAGTCACATCATCAATAAACAGATGATCTGGCAGCCATACATGCCCATGCCCTAACGCTGTCACCATGTTTCAAGTTAATCTTGGTTTCATCTGTCCAAACATTATATTAGAGCTGCATTTTCTCTTTGCATGTTTTCTGGTAAAGTCTGATCTGACCTGCTTGTTGTAAACGCGCTGTGTTTCCATTCTTGAAGGCATCTCTTGATTGTTGACCATAACAATGATACCTCCTGAAGAGTATTCTTGACTTTTAAATGCTGAATGTTGTGAAGTTGCTTTACATAGCCTCCATCATCCTGCACTTACAGTTTTAAGAATGAGCTAGAATGGTCATTCAGCCACTCCTAATTTTTTTTGGTTTTTCAATCTAATGATGACTCACTCGCTCACTTGCTTTGGTATCTCTCTGGACCTCATATTGGGACTTCCAGGAAGACGTTGTTTCTGCTTAATTTCTGAATGAATAGCAAGAGAACAGACCTTCAAGGTCATATAAGCACCTGACAGTCATCTGTCCAATTAACTTTCAGCCTCTGAAAAAAAGGGAGCTATGTATAAAAAAGGTTTTAAAAATGGATGTATCTATTGCAATACTTTTGTTAAACATCTTGAATTAAAGCTGAAAGTCAGCACATCGCATGGTGATTGATTTCAAATTCACTGTGCTGGTGAATGGAGGCAGAATTACACAAGATAAGTGGAAATCTACATAAAAGCATTTTTTCAAATATTTTTTCTCTCTCTGACAGATCAGACGACCTGAGCTGGCTGCAGCTGTCCTGATATTCAGCTCCTTACACTCGTCTGTCCAATGTTCGTTCCTCCGTATGTCTCTTCTTCAGCACGGCTCACAAAAAGGACCAGGGGGAGTTTGGAAATGTGGATTGAAACTTTTCAGTCGGAAGAGACAAACTTCACTTGCGGAGGGAAGGAGCACCAAACACAGTGAAAGCTGCAGTAACAGCTTAGCATCTAATACGGGCTGTGTGGAAGTGCATACCATGCATTCAGTGCTCATGTGAGGGGGAGTCCAAATGTCAACAACAGATACCTCAAAAAGATGCAGCTTATAGGTCTTCTTTTTTAAATCTAATTTTTTTTGTCATTAATTTAACAGATTTTTTATTTTATTTCATGGATTTATGTCTCCAGGAGTGTTTCAGTAACAGTCCAGAGACATCGCTGTTTAAGATGCCTCAGTATGTTCTCTGCTGTTAGTATTTAAAGCTCACTTTTACTTGGATGGGGCAGCTGGAAAAACATAAGTGACCTTAATGCCCACTACATCCGCGTTCGTGGTCCGGTCAGTGAGTTGGGGGGGGGGGATTAGGAAAACAGACGCAGCAGTGTTCAGCTCTTTGAAACAGAGATGCTGAAACAGGCAATGGTAACAAAATACACCAACAGCAAACAATAGGCCTGCAGCAAACAACGAACAAAAGCACTGCACAACAGAAATGCTGCGTTTCTCTCTCTCCCCCCGCCTCAATCGCTCTGCTGCTATCTTTAATTCACACCTCAGCTTTTACTGTTCGCTCTCAGCAGGATGCCTCAGTTCACCCAGGACCTTTCAGGGCCAGATCCAGTTAGTAGTACCAGTAGTGATATTTTAGGTGGTAGTAGGTGGTAATGGCTTTTTTTTCTCTCTGTACTAATGTTGCCTGTCAAAGATTTTGTTTTTTTTTTCTTTGCAAAGGGCAGGCTAAACAGTTTTTTTTTTATTAGCATTTGAATTGAAACTTGTTGCTTGCCATTTTAATAAAATTGAAGCTCTTATCTTATGTAAGAGAAATAAAAATTGGCTAATTGTGCAAACCTAAATACAATGAAAATCAAGCTCTGGTGATGCAGGGGGAGAATGGCTAATTTTACAGAGAATTGTGGATAGAGCAGGTGTATTTCATTGCACAGGAGATGACTGACTCCTGTGATATTCAAGTTACCTCGTTTCTGTATGTACAATGCATTTACAGTATAATGCTGTAAATTCACAGGAACCCAGTCACTCTGTAACAACGAGTAATCTATGATATCCTCGGTATAAGAACATTATTAGATTTGTTTTCTTGAGGTGACAAGAAGAAGACACATTGATGAGCATCATCAGCCCTCTTGTTAGTAACAGCGTTGTTATCATTTCAAAGTGATTCTTGATGCCAAGAGTAAGAATAAAAGTGAAGTACTTGTCATTTAAACATTTTTGTCTTGTTTTTAACTTTGAATTAAAAAAAACTCAGGCATATCAGTTTGGTCTCTGTTGTATTTAGTGACTCATGAGAACATATGATTCACTCAGAGAGGGACTGTTCTGACATCTATTGTCCACCAATGGTAGTGTTCCTACACAGAGTGGACAGAAACAGGAAGTAATCTGTCCCACTTCATAAATGTACACATACACTTAATTCTTTATGTGATTTGAAGGACATTTAAGATGTTGTATGTTACTGCATTTGCTCATCAAACATCTTAGAGACAGTAAAAAATCTATAGCACAAAGAGCCTTAAACTGAATCCACACATGAAGTGATTTGGAGTTATGTGGTGACCAGAAACCTTTGAAAGCCAATAAAACTTGGCAGCGATTGGAGGTTTTAAGAAAACCCCACCCACTAGTGACACAAAGTGGGCGTGTCCCGAGATAAACTTCTATGCAAGCAATGGTGATAGCACAGGATACCTATGATACACATATGACAGGGTAGTAAAGAACATTAGATCAAGGGTGTCAAACATAAGGCCCGCAGGCCAGGATTAGACCAGCAAAGACTCTAATTTGGCCCACTAGACAACTATAGAACTATAGAAATGTATGTTTTTTGTATGCTAAACGTCTTCACATTGACACAAAGGGGAGTGTCTGGCCCACTTATGGCCAAATTGGTTTGTATGTGATACAACATGCAAAATCAGTTTGACATCCTTTCATTAGAGGATTGACATATGACAGGGTAGTAAATACATTATAGGGTTACCTAGGCAACCACAGCCTGGAACGTCTACTAGTAGCCAAACATCTGTGTCAAAGTGATGCTTTACAGACAAACTGCTTCCTGTGTGGACGGGGAGACATCATACTATAATTAGTTTATGCATATGTATGGATGTATGTTTGCATGTTCCCTATTTCCTCCTGGGGGAGTGGAGCCATCTTGATGAAACTTTGCATAAACATTGCTTAGGGAACTGCGAGTGCCAGCATCTATTATGCATATACAAACATTTTCCAAAAATCACATATACTGTTAAGAAAGAATTTAATGAACACTTTATATTTAGACTACAGCATCAAGTCAAACTTCTAGAATATTGATCTGTTCAATTAAGTAATTGAAGGGGTTGTTAATATGTTTTAGCTGCTTTGACGAAATTAACAGCAGGTGGGACAACAATGAGACAAGCCCCAAAACAGGAATGATTTAACTGGTGGAAGCCACTAACATTTTTTTCCCTTCTCATCTTTTCTGATTTTTTTTCAGTAGTTTGGCATTTGCATAGCTCATATATGTATGTATATTTGTATGATCTTTATCTGCTGCATGTAGCGTGGTGATTTTCTTGTCTGCATAATTGTGCCTATAAAGTTCAAATGTGATAAACAGACACCCACTGCCATTTATCAGTAAGGGATTTAGTGTTACACAGTTAACAGTTTAGAGGAGCAACAAAGAGAAATAATGAGTTCAGGACTTTGCACATTAAATTGTTGCTCCATCGTGTCACCAACAAGCTTTTTACTGTGTTTACTGTATTGTGCTTAGACTGACAGCAGAGCAGCGCTTTGTTACAGTCACATTGCCACCCCCTCTCTGCTGGACATCTTTCTTTGTGGTTCTCATGCTGTAATGGATCAGCCCCCCTTCACTTCACTGACAGATGTGAGTTGGGTTCATGTTATGTGATCTCGACCGGGTTTTTGCCCTGAAAGATCAACTTAACTTCTTAAGGTGTGGTCAGCAGGAGGCGTTCTTGTCGTGAAAGCTGTGGCATTGTGGTTATGTACTTTGAACCTAAGCATTTCTGTTGGGGCGTTTTAAAGGGTGTTCAGCTGCTCAGTTTCTCTTTGGTCCAGTGTCTTAACAGCACCCTAGGATCTTTACTTTGTGTCTCACACTGCATAAATCTATTTTAAACTGTGAACAAATAAATCCCGAGGCCACTAACAGCATAAGGCTCTCTTTTGCTTCTTTAATTCAGTGTCTGCTCAGCTGCAGTAATGACGCAGCCTCCTGCTGGTCACATTTAGCTGGAACCTTTTTCTCTTTAGGAAAAGTCTGTCTTAAGGCGTCCTGGGTTTCTTTTAACAGAGCCTCTCTGTGTGCAATGTACCGCTGCCGCCTGTTGGCCCTGTACTGCTCCAGTCTCTTTGCCTCAGCCTGGGGATTCTGCAGCACTCCCTCCCACCTCAGGCTGAGAGTCTGAGCTGGGAGAGAGTGCTGCGGGACATTGAGCACTGTCACGTATCCCTGAGCAGTATCTCCGTTTCCATCGCTTTTATGGTTCTCTGTCAGCGTGGCTGGAGAGTCCTTGCGGTGATTTTTCCTCTTTCGTTCTCGTTTCTTCTTAGTGGAGGCTCTGAGCTTGGGAACCTGGTCTTGGGACTGACCCGGACTCTGAGGAGGCACAAGGGCCAGCGGCAAGATGTCAGGAGGCAAAGATACAGCCAGAAGTTTCTCTGTAGGGAAGCATTATAAACATGTAGGGAAACTAGCAAACAAAACTGAGGTCTCCTATAACTAATGACTTCCTATGGAGATTAAGGACTTTTGGCTTGGGTTACAGTAGAGAGCTATGATAGGTTAATGAGGAGGCACGGGGTCGATTCTCTAACGACCTATTCAAGTGATTTGAGGGATGAAACATGAGGGTCAGATGTTTTTCCATGCCTTTTCTTTTTTTTTTCCTCTGTAGCATGACCAATAATAAATCAATGCTGTGCTGTGAGAGTTTCAAGAGCTTTTTATTAGGTCACAGTTTATCATTTCAGAATGGTTTCTGTACTAGCTGGTAGCATGGACTCCATCAGAAACATACATTTCATGGTCTGCTTCTAATATCCTTTCAATAACAAAAAATGTGGCACTGTAATTTAATTTCCTCTCCTCTAACGTGCCCTCGAGGCACAAATCTAATTTTCAGTGCTTTTCAGCACGAGGACTTCATTTTTCTAGATTTTGAGGTTGTCTTTGATTCAGAGATAGGCAGGTAGATCCATCACATATTCTTTTCATAAACTTTCAGTGTAGTGATTTTACTAGTTAAGGGAAAACACATAATATTATATATGAATCAGAACTTGAGTTCCACTGATAAAAAAAAAAAGAGAATAAAATACCTGCATTTTCACAGTTGGAAACAATGCCTTTGTTTCTTTTCTTCTTTGTCTGCATACTGGTGTCTCAGTGCCGATGAGTAGGTCTGCTCACGCCAAACCAACTGATGAACAGGATAAAATTCTTCTTAGATTATTCTTCTTACTCACTGCAGGCAAGAAACCTCGGTGGAAACAAGTAGCCTGTCAGCAGCTGCCCTTCAATCTTATTTATTTAAAACAAATACGTTTTCTACAAACGGGGGGAGATGGGCTAAGTACTGCGAGCTGCAGAGCTACCTTTTGTGCCTCACAATCACGCTACACCGCCAAGTTGCCAAGTGACGCCTCTCCATGGCAACAGGACACACCTTCCCAGAGAAGAATGTCTTCGGGTCTCGTCGACACGTCAAACGAAGTAAGCCGAATTCGAGCTGCACTGTTCGTCTTTGCTCTGTGATCCTGACCGTGC